TTCAAACAATAGACCCTGAGTTACTTTATGATCGGGAAACTCTGCTGGCCTTTCTTGCACTAGCTTAATCATGGTTCCATAAACAGGATCAGAGGGATACGCATTCCTAATCTTGTCTTGTAGGTCAGCACCTACGTCTAGATAGGTCACAATAGCACCGAAAAARTCTGATCTACGACTTAGTGCATCAGCAACAACGTTATACTTACCCTTKACTGGCYTCAATTCAAAATCAAACATATCAATTTYCGCAGCCCACCTSGTCAASTTAGRTGTCATTCGAGCCTGCGTTTTGAGCCAGCGAAGTGTTTCATGGTCAGAGTATACTTTAAAATGCCTTCCTAGAAGGTAGTGTCGCCAATGATTGAGAGCCTCACGCAAAGCATACAACTCTCGTTCATACGTTGAAGCGGCCACCTTCTCGTTAGGTAAGCGGCAAGACATAAACTTTACAGGTCTGTACCCATGCCCATCATCTTGCTGGAGTACAACACCTATACCATATTGACTAGCGTCGGTCGTGACCACAAAAGGTAATGAAGGGTCTGCGACTTTCAGAACCGTGGCTGAATGGAATGCACAGGGGCACGGTTCCACTCGCAAACGAGTCATGGCCTATTATGACCTGTGCGGCACTGTAAGAAAAGGAAGAAAAGTCATTTTTGAGACTTAAAAATAAAAATAAAAAATGGCGACGCCACATTTCCCAAGATGGGAAGGAGTCCGACTTTTTGAAAGTGCTGCCGTCCCACTAACCCTCCCGTCTCCTCCCCCTGCTCCCCACCCAGCCAATGTCTAATCAGGACAGAGTGGTACGCGACTGTTGCAGTCTCGTGTACCACCGGGAGGGAGTCCCTTCGTGTGCCTGATGGGACTCCCTTCTCTGACGGTTGCCATGCTGAAGCGTGCAGTTCGTATATTTTGAGAGAAAAATCAAGTACTGGATGGGGTTGCAATTGACCGGGAAAAAGAAGGCGGTCAAAACCATGCCCTTCGAGTACTTGATTTTTTGTTATCTTTTAAAGAGCTGCCAATCAGAATGAGTCTTTCTATTTTCTTTTCCCGCCTTCCATTCTTGGGAACTGAAAAAAAAAGCACAAAAAAAAAAAACAAAAAAAACACCACTTGAGAAAAAAATCCATCACAATTTCGCTGCCATCGGATTCTCCCGCATCAGTGGTCCAACGCTGTCCCGCAGATGTCCCACAGGTGTCCCACAGGTGTCTCACAGGTGTCCCACAGGTGTCCCACAGGTGTTTGTGGGATACACTTTACCTTACTCATGTGCTAGTGGAACCGTGCCCCAGGGAGCAAAAAAGAAAAAAAAACGAAAAAAAACGAAAAAAAAAAAGGAAAAAGAAAAAAAGAGGAGGATGGAGGTGTTGGTAAACAGATGATGAATGATCTGTTGGGAAGTGTCATGTTAGCAAAGAAGATTGGATTTGATGCCTGAATGCGGATGCGTTCGTGGACAGGTGCAGAAAATCGCAATGGATCTGCTTTTCTGCATCTCTCCGTGAAAATCATCCAGATTCATCCACTTAATCCAATCCGGTTAGATGTAAGTCACTTTTCCCTAGATTGACTCCATAATATGAGGGATTGTGAGTTTCTTTGTTTGTTTGTTTTTTTGACGCGAGCTTATTTTGTTTTGTTGCTTGTTTTTCTGTATTTGACGATACATAAAATTTTTATTATTATTATCCAGTGATAACAGCAAGCTGGCATCTTGTGGGGGGGATCGACATATTTTCTACTGGGATGTACAGACAGGAAGAATCATAAGAAGATTTCCAGGGCACGACAGTGAGGTATTTTTTTCCTTCTTTTTTTAAAAATTTTTAATCCTTTTTTTTTTTCCTCTCTTTCTTCCCCCCCCCTTCCTTCTTTTCTTCATTCTCCTCTTTTTTTTCTTTCTTTCTCTGGGTTTTTTTTTTTTTTTTTTTTTTTTTTTTTTTTTTTTTTTTTTTTTTTTTTTTTTTTTTTTTTTCCTGCATTGGGCTTGAGGTTTCATCATTGAACTGAGCAGCCGTGCACTCAATTCAGAGTGTTTTTTTTTTTTTTTCCCCCATCTGGTTCTCCCCATCAGGATTCAAACTCAGGTCTGTTGAGAAAGATGGGTTTCTGAAATTTTATTCCTTTTTTTTTTTCTCTTTCTTTCCCCCCCCCCTTCTTTTCTTCTGCAATCAGACTCGTCGACTTCGACCTTCAGCATGCATACGAACAGATGACGATCAACCTGACGCTTTGCACCCTCACAAAGCTCAGAGATAATGAAGTCAAGAACACAATTCAGATTCAAACTTGGCTTGGCCGGCTATGGCCGACCCTTGCGCTCTCAGTAACTTGTTCGTAGACACACGGGGGATCTCCCTGGATGTCCCGACACACACATACACACTCAACTCGCTCTCTCACTAACACACTACTGACATGCTGACATGGCGGCTATGGCCGCCGTCTATCTCCTACCACTAGCACCTTCGGCTATGGCCGATCTTCCTCGTCTTAGCCTGTACTCCATGGGCACCTGCAGGCCTCCTTGCACAAGATGCTCAGGCAGCGCTTCCCCATGGCTCACATGCAGAATGAATGAATGACTTGACGCTGCCTCTTGATTTATACTTCGGATTGTCAATGGTCTGCCCTTGGACCCTGGGCCCGGGGTGCACACAGTCCCACGTGGTACTTGCTGACTTGACAAAGTGTGAGTGGGACTGGGTACCGCTGACTGGGCGGAGTTAGTCTGCCCACTTGCCCACTGGCCTACGGACTACCTACTAGGACTTCCGAAGGGTCAGTTCCGGACTTTCCGGAAGACTGTAGATTTGACCTTTCAGTACTGTTGCAGCTATGACTTGACCTTTCAACACTGTAGCAGCTACGACTCCTACCCTGGCTAAGACCTCTATCCTACAGACCTACGGTTCAAGACCCGATGGCCATCCTACCTACAGCAACGAACAGCGGCTTTCAAGACACAGGTCGCGGGTTCAGAAAAGAAGGCGGCGGAAGAAAAAGCAGCGAAAGAGGAGCAGAATAGAGTAGCATTGGAAAAGAAAAAGGCGAAGGAACAAAAGGAGGAGAAAAGAAACTGGGATTTTGAGAAACTGTTAGCGGAAGCAGAAAGAATAGAATCGACGCAGGAGGAGTTTGAGAGAATGTTTGAGACTCTCGACTAAACGGAGTGATGGTTACTGAAAGGGTTGTAAAAGAAGCCAAGGGTAAACAAGCCCCGCCACCACCATCAACATCACCATCCGATTCTGAAGATGACGAAGAGGAGATGCTGGATGATAGACGAGAGAAGCGTAAACGATGACAACCTGGCCAGACTTCCGGGGGCCAGGCCAGCCCAGCAGGGATTCCGGCGAAGATGGGACGATCAGCTGCCAACGAAGACCCGCCAGCGAGAGCAATGGAAGAATGTGGTGACGTGGCTGAACATCAAGTTCAAAGCGGAAGGGGGAGACCTCGAAAAGGAAAGCATTAGCTTTCCTATCTGTGAGTCCCTTCGCTGCCCTCCCTCTGCGTTTTCCCTACCCATAAACCCTTAACCCTTCCCTACCAATGAGCTTGTCGGCATAACCGCCATGCTCTAGCCTTCACCTACACACTCTGAGGGAAGGCGCCCCTGTGGATGTCAATAGTAAAACTGAGGCGGCCTTCCAAAAACAAGTCAGGAAATTTCTGAACAAGAAGAGCGTCCCAACAATACAGGAGATGTGCGAGGAGGCGGGTATGGCTTATCGGGGACGCCCTGAAGCGACCTGGTGGAACTCCGGACCATGTACTTCTTTCGTAAACTGACCGCGCACACCTCGCCAGTGTGGCGGAATTGTGATTCGTGAGACACCTGCCAGTGTAACTAACTCGCGCACCACATACTCCAAGCGATCAGAGCGAGCACCAAGATCCGTCTGAAGATTGATGTATGGGATGATCTTTGTTTCCACCTTAATCTGCGCCAAGAGTTAGTTGGTAGGCCCGCAGTAGGCATTAATTAAAAATATTAAAGGATCCTGAGAATATGCATCGCACTACTACTAGTAAGAATATGCATGGTACTACTACTAGTAAGAATATGCATCATACTACTACTAGTAAGAATATGCATCGTACTACTACTAGTAAGAATATGCATCGTACTACTACTAGTAAGTATAAAGGGGAGATAACATGGGGAACTAAATTCCTTGATAACTGGCTGCATTTTTATTTTATTTTTTTTAACAAATGCTCCATTCTATTCGTGGGGAGCAGCACGTGCTGGGAACCAGGCCCAGCGTCCCATATCGAATTGTACAGATCATTGAGAACATTTGAGATCATTTGAGATACCGGGGGCATTACCCGGCTTCGGCTGAGAACAGTCTGTGAACACGATATGATTCAGAAAGCATGGGGAGGATCATGAATATCTAATGACCTATTAAGGAACTACTCATGCAATAGGCTGCCACAGAGGTCCTACGAATGCTGACAACCCTCAGGATCCCTAACAAGCCCTTCTAAGACTTTCCAACACAGTCTTACTCCCTGCTGAACTCTTCCAGGCCTCACGCCCCCATCCTGCTGGGTTACAGGGCAACACAACTCGCCCCAGCTCCGACCAGCGTCGTCCCAGCAGCAACCCTTGGTTGTCCCTTGGGATGCCCACCCCAAAGCATTCCCAGATCTCTCTACCAGGCCTCACGCTCCTGCATCCGCAGGTTACAGGGCAACACCCCAGCACCGGCCAGCGTCATTCTGGCATCGAACAGCCGCAGATCACTGAGTATAACAGCATTGAAACCGCCTAAGATGGGTTGCTAAGAGTCCCTAGAGCCCTAAGACATTCATAAGAACAACCGACTTTTTTCCACTGTTCACTGTATTCAGACTCTACCAAGTCACTAGAATATGTGTGTCAAAAAGCCTCCCAACCACGAATCAGATAGGTGAAACCTATTCAATTCACCTACGACCACCACCAGCATGGCTGTTTTCAGCACGAACCGAAGCTCTTCCAGGCCTCATGCTCCCATCAGGTTAGGTTACAGAGTTGCACCACCTTGCTCCAGCACCGGCCAGCATTGCTCCAGTTACGACCCCCGATGACCACTGAGACTGCCCATGCAAACAGCCCCCCAGAGCTCTCTACCAGGCCTCATGCCCCCACTAAGCTAGGTCACAGAGTTGCGCCACCTGGCTCCGGCTCCGGCCAGCGTTGCTGTAGCATCGGTCTTCGAGGCCCACCGAATTTTCAACCACCCTTCGCAGGATCACAGATGAATTGCCAGATAGCACCTAATCCTACAACCTCCTCGAGAGGCAAACCAAATGAAAAGAAATAGTAAACTGGATGCTAACAAAAACAAAAATGTACTTTAGAATTTCCTAGAGTTTCCTAGAAATTTCCTACAGTTTGGAGACAAGCAGCATCTCATTGAGAACAATCTGGATATAAATGGGATAACCCCTCTTCTTGTGTTTATGTTTGATTAGATCCCGATGGTCGTGCCGCGTATATTGGACAAACGGCGTGATCCTTATATGAGAGATGGAGTAAGCATACCTATCGTACTACAAACGTATTTACCGCTACTGTCTTCACCCGAATAGAACGCCCGGTCATTATAGACATATTTGGGGCAACTTTCAGACCAGATGCAGCTATAATGACCGGGCGTTCTATTCGGGTGAAGATGGTAGAAATTCTAAGCTATACAGCTGGTTACGTAACTGGGGACGTAGTAAGAACTAGGTAGTCCCCTTCCGATTGCTTTCGTCCCTACCAATGACCTGCCACTTCTGGAAAAAGTCCTAATTAGGAGATGGTCTCCCGCGCTTTTAACTCTAGCCGTCGTAATAAAACTTCAGGTAAGAAAAATTGTAAGGGCAGAAAGGAAAGAAAAAAGGCTAGATGCTCAAGTTTTCTGGATGAGCGTCCGTTGATTTTTAAAACAGGGGATCTAGAATCTGTAAATTTTGTAAGCATTTGCAGGGCAGCCTCTGAAGGAAATGGTGAAGTATTATCATCCGGGGGAAAGATGTGGGTTCCAGAATGGAAGGTTGCTATGCGTGAGATTGGGCAAAGTACCTTCTCTATAGGATCTGACGTCGTCCTGCTTGAAGAGCTCAAAGACAGGTTGGAAAAGGAGGTGAAATCACCGTACAACAGCTGAAAGGTGGGACTCTGTCCAAACGAAACAAGGAACTCGAAGGACTGCTGCACAAACTGCTTAAAAATCCCGGGGCTAAGAAGAAGCTCTACAAGTCATCACTGGAAGAATTGTTGGACCTGTTCCTCAGTAACTGATCTTTTCTCTAAAGAGATATGTCGTAGCAATCTGAGAGATGTATTGGGGGGGGGGTTGTGGGAAGAAAAAATACAGATTTAATGCTCGTTGGAAACATTGTTTATCTGTTATGTATGATGAGGGATTGCGTAAGAAAGCGATTAAGAGAGTAGTAGTGAAGGATCACCTTATGATGAACTGCCTTCCTCTAGCTGAAACTGCCATCATGTGTAAGAAACTCAGGACTATATGGCGTAAAAATAGATCAGTCGCTGATGCTCTTCATAACCATCGGACTGCTGCAGATCCCGGTGGGAGTCTGCAAAAAATGTGCAGATTTCAACCTCCCAACCACAGGAGGACATGTGTCAGTACTCTCTCTCTCTCTCTCTCTCTCTCTCTCTCTCTCTCTCTCTCTCTCTCTCTCTCTCTCTCTCTCTCTCTCTCTCTCTCTATTTTGGAAGGGATCGATAGTTTTATTAAAAATGCTAGAAATATTGCTTTTCCAAATCAGACGGGGAGAATGAATA